ATACCAGGGTGTGTTCTGGAGTTTTGCCGTGGTCTGTTTGGCTATGGTTATCTTTGTTCTGTTGATTGTCCCAGAGACAAAGGGTAAGACATTCGAAGAGATCCAGGCGTACTTCAGTAGGAGATATGGGAGCAGATCTAAAAATGTCGACGCTTCCGTTAAGGTGGATGTCGAAAATGCTGCTCGGTCGGAAGGAGTATCTTATTAGTACGGATGGTTTGCTACTATAACATGTTTCTAAGAATTTTCTCCTAAAGGGAAAGTCTACCTTCCCTTCAAAAATGTTTAATATAAACTGCCCGTCGAGACAGTCTACGTGTTATTATTCTATGAACCCGTTAACGGTCGACAAAAGCTATCGTTCCTTTCTACGGGGTTGTTTCAAGTGGTTCCTTGTGATCTACTCGTAACTTTATGTCATCGGATAAGTTGTTAGAATGGCATTTTTGCTGTGTTAGTTAATAGAGTCTCTTTGACTGTGGTAATATTATTAGTCCTAATAAGAGTTTAAGTCCAGATTCATGATTAGAGAGTGAGCTAACAAATATGTAGCAAGCATCGATACTTGGTAGTCTCACGAAAGAGCGAGAAGCATTATGCAGTATAATGCTAGAGATTCGATTGTGATGCAAGCTATTAACTCGGAATTGAGTGAACTACTGAGTATGAAAGACGCCATGATCCAGAACTTTTAATACTGACTATGCTTGCCATGGTTATCCACTGTACGTAGACGTATAAGATAGTAGACTCGACTCTAACACTTGGGGAAGCCTCCTATGACAGTGGTAAGATTGTCGGCTATCCCATCCAAAGATATTTCATCGTGTGGCCAAGTTGGCTATAAATGCGACCAATTCCGTTTAGGGGCAGCTATGCCATTTTTGGTTTCCAACGCGCTGTATTATGCTCTCTAGTGTGTATTCATTGACAGTTTGTCATTAAGAACTCACATCAATCCAACGCCGGAGTTGGCATATCTGCCCCTCGGTATTGCTTACAGCAGAATTGAATCTGATAATTTGGCGGAATTGGAGTTATACCGGTCGCGCCGAGGGAATTGATAGTCTCACCGCGAGCTCCTACGATAGTGATTGTACTACGGCGTATCTTGCCGGCGACGGCGCTGGAATTCAAAGTAACATATACACGGCATATTTCATAGCGCAACTCTGCAAGCTCGGAATGAATAAGCCAAAAAGTGAAATACTCGTAACTATGAACACGGCTCAGCGATTGCCAGAAACTCATCACGTACAACAACGCAAGATCATGTAGCCTTGGACAGTGCCTGCTCCTTCTCCCTCAAAAGTACTACGAGCTGGTCAGCTCTTTGCTTGTACTGAAAGAGTAGAATCCTGTGCAAAAATAGGCGTCATCTGCTCACTATCTTGTCGATCTTCGCTGCCTCAGTCTTCTCCATTTCGGTCGAGGGCATCATTCGGCGATTTTCCCTGATTCCCGAGGAGTACTTTCATGCGGTTAATCTCAATTGCATACTACTCCAGCATAGTGGCTCTGATCGAATTGATGTTCCTCTGGTACTTCTTCAGAATACCCTTGCACCGGTTGAGACACTCATTCCGAACTTCTCGCGTGACTTTCGGAAGGACAACGCTGATCTAATCGAACCGCCCAAAAGCTGCAGGGGTTTCTCACGGGAGACACACTTTATTCCCGTCTTTATTCACTGTCCAGTTCTTCCCTCTCAGTTGAATTGCTTTTTGGCACCTACACACGCATGGCTCAGCCGATCCCAAATGTCTGGATTTTACGCTCCTGCCAGACCGTCATCGAACACGGAGAAATTGACAGTCGTAGCATTGAGAATGCTCATCTGTGAGATGTTCAATAGAGGCTTCTCCGCAACCTGATGGACCCCTGCTATCCCATGTATTGTACTCAACCTTACAGTGATGCTCCGAAAGAGCTCAGGTGATGCTTGATCCATTTGCACTTCTTGCAAGGCTACTTTCATATCTCTCACTTCCTCATCGAGAGCTTGCGTTTGCTGATGCACCCACACTCCCAAGTGTAAAGAACTGCCGAGATACCTCCTTCAGCATCTTAGCATGCTCCATTTTCTGATCTAGTCGTTGTTGTCGGCGCTCCGCTGGTGTCATCGAACCCACTGAGACAGCTAGACTACCGCCAAACACGTCATTCAGCCATACCCGTTTTGGTGTCCTCTAGCGAGAGGAACTTATCCGCTTCCCTCCGATCACGCAAA